ACACACACACACACACACACACACACACACACACACACACACACACACACACTACAACTATAGAAGATTATACAAACATTTTCCCTCCCCTGCTCCCATCAATTTGTACTTTTCCCTTTTGGACTATGGGAAGTAACTAGCTCCAAGCCACTTGTCACCAGGATAACTTCTACTGGATTTTGCTCAGACTGTTCCCAGCAATGGTTCAGTGGTTCAGTAGCTCAACTTCCCTGGCACCACCTTCCTTCCCCACACCGCCCTGTGCTCCAGGCCTTCTCCCTCCTTGTACTAGATATCAGATGTACTGTCTGCTCATCTTTGCTTCTGAAACCCCTGCTCAGCTGCCAGCCTACCTCGTCACTTTTCACTTTCTCTAGGTTGTAACACTGGTCCTGACCCACGGTTGCACCTGTAGGCTCTCAGGCCAATCAGTGCAGTAGGGTTAGCCTCTTGGCCCCTCTGCAGCACTGTGCTCATTGGTGAGGTCAGTAACCTGCCAGGCCGGGTGCATATATGCACATGAGCAAAACATTTTGTTTTCTTTGACCATTAAGTAACCCTTTGGCAAGAAGTAGCTATTAACCCTTTGGCAAGAAGTTACTATTAGCACATCTGAAAATTAACACAGGCCTGGCCTACTCCTGCTGTTTCGTATAATTAGAGATTATCACAACTATTCACTTACAGAAGCGCTAGTTTGAACAGTAAATTTATGAACAAACAGTTTTTTTTCCGTTGACTTGGTCAGCTTATTGATAGTATCTGTGCTGCCAGTGTCAAAAGAGGGCTTTATGTCACTTTTAGCACCCCCCCCCACTAGTATAGATTGAAGTTTAATATAATAGCATTTATATTTTGGTTTGGCCTGTCTTTATTCACAGTTATGCAGTTATGCAGGCCAATAGCTAATTGCTATGTTTTTAGGATTTTATGAGCTAATTGACATCAGGTGGATAGCTTGAAATCTGTCATGGTATGAGTATTTATACCATGACCACAATCAGATGCCCCAAGTCCAAGCTGTTTGCCCACAGAGCCTGTTACACCTTTACCATTGCCTGTGACTGAGAGGGCCATGTGAATGTATGAGATAGTCATGTCGTGATTGGCTGACATCCTTTCAACTTAAGCACTGTCTCTAATGTATTTCCTAGGAGGAAACCAAAGATATGACTCCAGTCATAGTATCACAAAGGCTAGAATAGGAGGAACTGGTCCTGGGGGAGAGCAAAAGGCCTGCTGGGAAGGGAGGTAGGTGTTAGCTTAGGAAGAGTGACCTTAGCTATGATCTAAACCCAGGAATGTGGTCCTGCCAGTCAATGCTGACCTCTGTGCAGGCCGACCTACTTAGGTGTTTTCTTTGATACCTGTTGCAAGTCCCAGTGGGAGTGGTTGGAGAGTGTACCTAGTGGGAGGCTTTTATTCTCAGATTCGCTTTAATGCCAGAGAAGACATGGTGTACCCCAGGAACAGATGTGTTGGAATCTGCAAGGAATAAGGAATAATTTATTAGTGAAAAGCGTGATGGTCTTTTATAGCCCCAAAGACTGCACACAATTTTAAAGAGCTTCTTATTTTAGATTTTTACTTCCATGAGCTCTTATTACCAGATAAGTGTTATTATAAGTCAGATCTTGAAAGAGAAGTCAGGAGTCGTTGCACTGAAATCCTAGCATTTGGGCTATGGAGGCAGCAGATCAGGAGCTGAATGAATGTCATCCTCAGCTATAGTGTTGAGGCCAGCCTGTCTGCATTAAACCCTGACTCCAAAAAACAAAAACAAACAAACAAAACCCCCAAAACAACAACAACAACCAAAAAAGCCAGACATTTTAAACAAGGAAAAACGTTTAACCTGTGAAGATAATGTTTTTAAGTTTTACTTTTTTTAAGTACTTATTTATTTTAAATCAAGTATGTGCATGTGGATGACGCTTGTGTGGGTGCCCGAGGAACTGGAGTTATAGGTGTTTTCCAGTTTCCTGATGTAGAAGCTGGGAATCAAACTCAGTCCCCTGCAAAAGCAATACATACACTAAACAGCTGAACCATCTCTCCAGCCCAAGACTTAATTAAAAAAAAGTTTTTTTGTATGTGTGTGTGTGTGTGTGTGTGTGTCATGGGGGGGGGGGGACGGGACAGGGGGGCAGTGCAATACCCAAGGAAGCCAGAGGAAGGCATCAGACCCTCTGAAACTGGACTTATAGGTGGTTGTGAGGCTGTCCTGAGTGCTAAGAACTCTGGTTCCCTGCAAGAGCAGCAGTCGGTTTAGCTGCTGACCATTTCTCCAGCCTGAAGATAAATGGTTATGTATCTTTAAGGAGCAGTGTTTCCCAGAGGTCTGTTTGCAGACTCACTCTTGGGAATGTTGGTGGTGCACAAGGGGCTCTGGGCCCCCTCTGTCCTCACAACACAGCTTTACACATTTTAGTATGCAGACTCCATGAGAGACACAGAGAGAAGCTATCATGCCTAAGCAAAAATTTGAGAGACAGTATTCTAAATAGTATTTTTATTTGCACAATTATTTATCAGCCAAAATAACCACATCACACTTTGTATTTGTCAGATCTCTCTCTCATGTGCGCGCACACATCTCTGGACAGCTTCCTAGTTAGAATATTTAGATAGGCTAGAGTTCCCCAGTAATCTCTGCCTCTGCCTGTTTTTGCTGCCGTCTACAGACTTGCCCCAGGAGACTCTTGAGGGTCTCAGCTGTTAGCCTGAGTAACCGGCCTTCTGGTGAGCTCTTCTTTCATACTCACAGTGCCTGTCTGTGTTTATGATTGGATGATTGTTTTCTCTCATGTAATTTCCATTTATAAGCTTACTCATTTTCAAGATTGTGGTCAAAGAATAAAAAACCTAACCCTTCATTTCGTATGTTAGGAAGTAGTAAGAATTATGTGTCCCATTCTATCAATTCTAGATTCTCAGCTTGGGCCATCTTGATTGACTCTGTTGCCTTGAGCAGTGAAAGCCTGCTGGGATGGAGGTGGTGTGGGTGTGACAGGAACACCTTCCTGTTCTCTGGCCTCACAAATGAAATTTATCTTTAGTGACACTGAACATGCTTTACAGACTAAACAGTGCGAATGAAAACTCATGACTAATAAATTAATAATAATAATAATAATAAACAGTTGTGGATTTAATCCCTTCTGGTTTGTTACTGCCACCTTTTTACAGTTAAGTGATAATGAATTACAGAAAGTGTTAGAAAGCTAATTTTAAAATAAATCATGCAAGTTCTTGTGGTTTAGTAGTAGGGCATCTTATTAAATGTATGGCTACAATTAAACACACACACACACACACACACACACAGGAGGTCAGAGGTCAACATCCATCCTCCTCACTCACTCCCCACTTCATTCTTTGAGACAAAGTCTCTCTGACCCGGAGCTGCCTCCTTAAGGATCCTCTTAGGCTGTGCAACAGGCCCCGGCAAGCCTGTCTCCACCTCTTGAGCTCTGGGATAACAGGCAGATGCTGCAGGGTTGGTTCTCTGTAGGTGTGCGGAGTATCAGTTCAGGTCCTCATGCTTACAGAGCAGGCACGTTACTGGCTGTGCCTTCTCCTAAAATTTTTAACTTCTAATCTTCCTAAAATTTTAACTTCTAATCTGTCTAATCTGGCTCTGGGTCTTGGGCCATCCTGGCTCTATCAGAGGACTAGGAAGCTCATAAACTGCCAGGGAGCTCACACCCCACTGAGGAGTGAGGCCATGTAGAGTGCTTTCTTGTCCACAGGTTCAAAGAGGATGTAATGGCTATGCGACTTTTGTCTTTTTGATAAATCACCAGGACCCCCAATGGAATATCAGGTGTCATGCATTGGAGTTTAGTACTGCAGAATGCAATTGTTAAATAGAAAATAAAGGGTCCATCTCAAGGTAAATGACATGTAATATCTTGTTCTCTTAGGGCTCTGGAACTTCATCCATTCTCAGTGAAGCCTCTTTTGAGACGAGCAATGGCCTATGAGACCTTAGAACAATATGGGAAAGCTTACGTGGATTATAAAACAGTGTTGCAGATAGACACTGGGATCCAGCTAGCAGGCGACAGTATAAACAGGTAATCTAGTTTGAGGCCACTCTCTGGGGTCTACCTCTGTTACTGAAGGATTAAGCTACTCCCTTCTCTTCCTTGAAGAATACTGTCAGAGCCAGGGTGGTGGTAGCGCACGCCTTTAATCCCAGCAGTCGGGAGGCAGATCTCTGTGAGTTCAAGGCTATCCTGGTCTATAGAGTGAGTTCCAGGAGAGCCAGGGCTACACAGAGAAACCCAAACCAAAAACCAACCAAACCAAAAAACCAAAAACCACCACCAACAAAAGAATGCTGTCAGTCTCTCAGGTTCTCACTCACTTTATTTGAAAGCCCCTCTCTTCCTAGCTTGATTTCTAATGACCCCTTCCTATTTCTTGGCTTCATCCTCTCCCATTTTGTATTTATTTCTGTGAAATGCTTCATCTTAACACCATATCTACATCTTCCATGTGCTTCTTAAGCCTGGGTGTCAGGTGCTTTCATGGGTGTCTGAGTCAGGGTCTGAACAGGTGCTGTGGGCAGACCACAGCACACATTTCTCAGGGTTTATGAGTCCCTGTGGGCACAATGCGGGTCTATAAGTCCCTGTGGGCACAATGCCTGTTTTTATGCTCAGAACTAATTCTTTGTGCCCTTGGAAGCAGACACCCACTGAGGAGGAGGAGTATTACATAGGGATGAAATAACCGAGAGGTTATCTAATTAAAATTCTAACCAGCTTATCCCCCGAGGAAGAATGAGAAGGCAAATGTCTTCCGATTCCCGTCTCGCCCAAGCAGTGGTGCGTGGCCCTGAGCTCAAAGCCCAACCACACAGGCTTGACAATACTCATGTAACCTATGCGTCAGATAGCATGTTCTAATTATGCGTAGCATTTTCTGATGCTGCAGTAGGCTGAAAGTTTGTGTCGGTAGGCTGAATGGCATGATGCGTAGCGGAGACTTGCTGATTATATAATTTCTCAACTTTCTGCATTGTTTTTTTAAAAATAAGATAAAATGTACATATGAATAAGCATACAGTCCATGACATTTAGTGAACACATGTTATACAGGTGTCACTTTCCCCCTGTTTTTATCACCTTTTTGTCACCCTCACAGGCAGCCCTGTCCTCACCAGTCACTCCTTCTTGTCCCCTTCCTGAGCCCCCTGCAGCCAGCAATCTGCTTTCTGTCTCCTATGGACTTACCCATTCTGAACATTTCGTAGAAAGAGAATCTAGACTATGTGCGGTTGTGTTTGTCATAATGTTTCTGCATCACTGTTGAGTTTCTTCATAGACGGAGGATGTCCTGTTCGTGTTCACACAGATCACTTTTTTTCCCAAGACACAGTTTCTTTGTGTAGACTTGGCTGTCTTGGACTCACTTAATAGACCAGGTTGCCCTGGTCTATTGTCACAGAGGTCTTCCTGCCTCTGTCCCCCTGAGTGCTGGGATTATAGGCTTGCACCACCAAGACCAGCTCACTTCTTTGTTTTTTTTTTTTTTTTTAATTAATCTCTCAGTTGATGGTCATTTTGATTGTTTCCACCTTTTTCCTCTTACAAATGATCGACATCCCTGGGCGAGTTTATATTTGCTCACCCATTTCACTTCCTTTACTGTATACTAGGAGAGGAATTGCTGGGTCCAATGGTAATTCCATGTTTAGCTTTCTGAGGTTTGTATTGTATATTTACCTAAGAGGATAGTTTCAAAGCAGTTGACTTTAAGACTCTGAGAATTTTTAATGGAATTGCAGAGTTTTGTTGGAATTTTATAAGAAAAATGAGGTTTTCCATGTTCTTCTTAGTAAACAATTCGCTCATTTTTGTGATGCAATAGCTGGCACTTGCTTTTCCATTGAACACATTTTATTATAAAATCATTATATAAAATACATAAAATTCATTACAAAATCAGACACCGGGAACTTATTTATTTTATTTACTTAAACACCTGTGCTTACTTTGTTTTTGCTTTCATTCACACCTGCCTCTCTCCCTCTCCGGGAGCCTTAGTATGTTAGACCCCTGCCTTGATTTCCCCGCCACACGGCATCTCTTTTCAGCTGCCTTTTCCTTCCTCTCTTCTGGTAATACAAATTTTGCTTAAAAATCTTTTTTTTCAAAATCTTTTTCTTCTACAGTTGTGGGCTGGCTTTCAAATTTATCTTTTCATACCCAACCAATGAGTTGTAGTTATTATAGCTGCAGTTAATAATGGAAATGTATGTATATTAGAATCATCTGTATATATGTGTAAAACCGTTTACATAAAAGTATGTGAGTGCAGTCACTAATTAGCAGTCCGCCTGCCCTGTCTTGGGAAGTGTCTTTCTAAAATCGGATATTTGTCCCAGAGACATAATCCAATTTTGCTTTTAAATAAATAAAATCAATCAAACAAACAAACAGACAAAAACCTTTGAGATAAGGTCTCACTGTGTAGTCCTGGCAGGCCTTGAGCTTGTGCTGGGATTAAAAACATGTATCAGTATGCCCAGCCTCTCTAGGTTTAAAATGATATGAAAATGACCACCAAGAATATTACTCTGAATCATGAGTTAGACATTAAGGTAAGGCTTTAAGGAGATACTCTACTTTTTGTCTTTATTTATATGAGAAGAATGTGAGTGGACACATTTAGAAGTGAAAGAACACATGGGAAGTGTGTTAGTGCATGTTAGGCCTTAAGAGGCAGCAGTGTCCGGGGAGATTCTGGCCCTCATCAGTGTCATCATGTGCTGTGCATCTGTCTTCAGCCACCGCAGGGTTCAGTTTGCACAGAGAAACCTCAAAGGACTCCCAGCTACTCTCAAGAGAAACACATTGTCAGTTTAGTCACTGGCTAAAGGTTGGGATATTTCTTCCAGTCCTAAATTTTAGTTGCATGTTTCACTTTTTTAGAAATTAAAATTTTATTGTATGTATATTGAAAATTTTAAACAAATTAACAAGTTTTAATTTTTGAGTAGAAAATGGTCTCTGTGTGTGAAGGCACATGTCTATAATCTCAGTCAGTCAAGAGGGTCACAAATTCAAAGTTCCTCTGGGCAAGATAGAAAAGCCCTGTCTTAAAAACAAAAAACCAAAAAGAAAAGGAAGTGATCTGCGTAAATAATCAGTGCAACTTTTAAAAATTCTTCAGAAATATTTTGGTTTATATAGACTGCATGCTTTTCTACAAGCTACACACAGGTACAGCTTGGTCAACCTGACTCTTTTGTTTGTTGAGACAAAGTTTCTCTGTGTAGCCCTGGCTGGCCTGGAACTCATTCTGTAGATCAGGCTGCTCTTGAACTCAGAGAACTACCTGCCCCAGCCTCCCAGGTGCTGGGGTCAAAGGTGTGGGCCACCGCACAGTAGTCAGTGTATGAGGTGTCACTGACTCTTCCTTCATTAAAATAAAACAGTAATTCCTTGATTGATCCTAACAATTCATTTCCTATTTAGAATAACAAGAATCTTAATGGAGCTAGATGGGCCAAGATGGCGGGAGAAACTGCCACCCATCCCAGCTGTACCCATGTCTGATCCACTGAGAGTTTGGCATCCTGCTGCAGAGATCCCAACCCAAGAACCACATCCCAGTGGCAGTGCGCCCAGCATCTCAGGTAGGGGAGAGCTACTCATGTTTCCTCCAAAGGCAGCTAGAGCAACAGTGTATTCCCAGAGGAAAGCAGAGTGAGAAGAGCCTGAATTACGGTGTCAGACCCGGGGTCAGGTCAGTGCTTCTACCTCCTTGTGTACAAGAAAGGGGGTTGGGCAAGGGGTAACCGAGTCACAAGCTAACTCTCAGGAGTACATAGAAGTACATGAATATAGACCTTGGTCCTTGTGCTGCCTGTGGAAGCCGATGGCGACCTGTTAATGTGGAGCTGGCATTACTAAGAGGAAGAAAAAGAATTAAGCTCTCCAGGAAAACATGTGACAAAGTGACAGGAGTGAGACTGGTGTGTTAAAAATAATAAAGGAGCTGAGAGATGGTGCAGTGGATAGAGCACTGTTTGCTCTTCCAGAGCTCCTGAGTTCCCAGCAACCACATGGTGGCTCACAACCACAATACTGAAATCTGATGCTCTCTTCTGGCACACGGATGTACATGCAGATAGAGCACTCACATTAAATAAATAAAATCTTAAAAATAATAATGATAAAAAAACTGATTCAGAGCTGGTGAGACAGCCTGGTGTGTAAAAGTACTTGCCATGCAAACTTGAAGGCCTGAGTTCAGCCTCCAGGCTCCTCACTGGAAGGAGACAGCTCCATGTGCTTGCTGTGTCACAATCCTGTCCAGAGCCACATACACATGTCACACTTACATATAAAACATCTTCAAATAATAATGTGCAAATATATAGTAGGAAAAATTGGATGCTGAATAAATATCACACCAGGCTTTAAAAATTTGATATTATTCATCAAATATTTATTGAATCTTTGGCTTTGTAAAGATTTATTTATTTTATGTGTGTGAGTACTTTGCCTGCATGTACATATATGTACCACATATGTACCTGGTGTTCAAAGAGGTCAGAAGAGGGCATTGAATCCCTGGAAACTGGAGTTACAGATGGTGGTGAACCACAATTTGGGCGCTGGGAATTGAGCCCAGGTCCTCTGTAAGAGCAGCCAGTGCTCTTAACCGCTAGGACATCTCGCCAATCCCCAGGTTTTTAAACCTACATGATTTGTGGGTATGTGTGTGTGAGTACAGGTGCTCACAGAAATCTGAAATGTCTGACAGGGTCCTCTACAAGTTCAGTGAGTGCTCTTAGTCGCTGAACCATGGCTCTAGCCCTAGCTTTGTGTTTTATTTTGGTGTTGTGTGTGTGTATCTTTTTTTTTTTTTAATTAAGGGTTTTCACATAATCCAGACTGGCCTCAACCATGATTTAGAATCATAAATAGCCCTGAAGGCTGGTCATCTCACCTCTACCTCACAAGGACTGGGACCACAGGCATGCACCACCATGCCTACTCATTGATGGTGCTTGTATCCATGTATTCTGCCATAATTCCAGCTTAATGAAATGTCTACGGTTCCATTGCCCCAATGCTTATAGACACAGTGTCCTTTGCAGTTACTGGAAACTGTGGGCATGCGAGTTCATTGGAGCAGCCTGTGTGAGTCCAGCTACCTGTGTCCTGGTGTATGGCTTCATTCCCTCCATCTGAGACACAGCTCTTGTTCATGGTAGTGTCTCTGGAAGACATGCCAACATGTATAACACATTACTTCATCTGATTCTCTAGTTTGAACATGACAGTGTCATAATTACTCATACATTTAGCAGCTTCGCCTATGTCATTTCATGGTTTGTTCTGTTTAGCCTAGCTCTTCCTGGTGTGCGAGCACATGACTTTGCAATGGAGGGTTTTACTGGTAATTGTCCTCAAGATTTTATAGATGTGCTTACGGGAATGTTTTCTCTCTATATTCATTTTTTGGTCTCATAGATGAAAAAATGTTTCAAGTCCTTAAAGAAGAAGGAAATCAACTTGTAAAGGACCAAAACTATAAAGATGCCATTAGTAAATACAGCGAATGCTTAAATATTAACAGCAAGGCGTGTGCTATATATACAAACAGGCAAGTTCTATGTGATTTATGTAGGTCTTCTGTGAATAGTTTTGATTATTTTAAAACAATGTTTGACAAAGTAACTTAATAAAATGTATTAATTCTATATAATACTTTCTAGGACTCAGTATGTAAGCTGTCCCAGGTGTCTCTGAAGGAGCTAGAGAGGGATTGGGAATAAAGGCGTGATGCCATGATCCTGTGGTCACCTTTGCTTACTGAGCTTGTCCTGCTCTGGCCCTGTGCTGTTTGCCTGGCCAGGCTGCAGCCAGCTGAGTCTTAAGTTCTGTCCAAAGCTGGGGCAGGCTTTGGGTTGGGGTTGATCAATGGCCTTCAAAATACTGTCTTCTGGGGCTGTGTCCTTTTTTCTTCTGAAGTGCTAAAGGAAGGACCAGCCTTTCCCTGCAGTGTGTAGTAGGAACTGGCATGTTGTTTCTGGAATGCAGCCTATACCATCTTTACCATTTATGATACTTTGAGGATTTGATGGGAGCAGTCAGGGTGTGTGCTAAAAGGAAGAATAAAGGATCAGTTTTGAGCATTTTTCCTAGATATTTCATGCAATTGTTAATTTTGTTTGAGACTTTCATACACCATTCTGTATTCCATCATTTCCACCCCTCCCTCTGATAAAGTCTTTTAAAAAAATGTGTGTGAGTATTTTGCCCGTACGGATATATGTGCACCACATGCATGCGTGGTACCTGCAGAGATGAGAGAACGGTGTTGGATCCCATGCAACTGGGATTTGAGATGGTTGTAAAGCACCATGTGCATGCCGGAAACCAGACCCAGGTGCCCTGCAAAGGCATCAGATGCTGTTAACTGCTGAGTCGAGTCATCTCTTTAACCCCTCAGATAAATTCTTAACTGGCCTCCTACTGTGGCTTTGTATACATTTCTGTGTTGTGGCCACTGCTGGTCAGACATTGTCACTATCCCATAGTTTCTTCACCTCTTCTTCAGCCTTTGTATCAGTGGGTAGGAATAACTGTCAGGTTCCTGGGAGGACCCTGCGGCCCTTGGCTGTAGTGGCGTGCAGCTGAACGCCTGGTTCTCCCTGCAGGCTTCCTGTTGTCTTATGTCTTGTGCCTTGGAAGGTCTGGATCCCTTATTGCCTACTTGTCTCTAGACAAGCTCATTCCTCCCTCACATCCATCTCCACTCACCTCTTACCCTTGTGCCTCCCAGATCTGTTTTCTGAACTTTAGGCCCTCCTTCCTCCTTCCTCCTTCCTTCTTCCTCCTTTCTCCTTGGAGAAGTTGATCATCCTTGGCCTTTCTTTCCCAAGCAGGCAGCATCCTAGATACCTCTAAGTACCCTTCAGGATGGCTGGCTATTCTGTCTCACCACTCCCTTTCCTTAGGCCCCTGGTATCTCCTCTGAAAGGTCTGCAGCGATTCCTGGCTTCTCCTCTTGTCTTGCTTTCCCACTTATAGGTAGAGTGAGCTTTCTGAAGCACGCTGAACACATCACCCTCTTCTGGGCTTCTACTGGGCCTCTACACATGCTTCTACTGGGCTCTGGATAAAGTCTAGGTGAGCAGGGCCCTCTGTGGTCTGGCCTGACCCGTCTTGTAGCCCCACCCCTCCATTCCAGCCATGCACTGCTTTTCCTGGTTCACCAAAAATATCACGCTCTACCCTGGAAAGGCTATGCCTAGGCTGTATCCTTGGCCTCCCTCTGTCCCTTTTCTCTTAGCCCCTTAACTCTTAGCTTAATGCCTTGGTAAGATCATTCTCCCTTCATACACCCATACACCTGCCTAGCTTGATGAATGTGTCCCTGATTGCTCCACCTCCAGCTATGCTCCACAAGATCTGCTGTAGGCCTCAGCTGTGTGCTTCCCCCTTACAAATTTTATTAGAGGTGCTCATTTTAGTTCCATTTCCTCCTTTGGGGGCAGGCTATATTTTGTTTGCAGTGACGAAATTGTATCCCTCATGAGTGCGCCATTGTTGACCAGAAGGGTTCTGCACCAGCTGCAGCAGCTGTCGCTTAAAACAGACACAATAGCCTGATTTTGATCCATACTAGCTTTTAAATTTTCTATAGAAGTTATTTCGGGTTTTTAATCTTATTTTTATTGTGTGAATGTGTGTGGGGGTATGTGCACATGCATGTCACGAGCTACCCAGTGCAAGTGTTGGGAACTGGACTTGGACTCTCTGCGAGAGCAGCAAATGCTAACATAGCTAACCTCCCTCCCAGGCCCCTCTTGCTTTCTCAATACACTGATCAGTTTCCTCTACTTTCCCTTGCGTTGTGCCAGGGCTCTCTGTTACTTGAAGCTGGGCCAGTTTGAAGAGGCAAAGCTGGACTGTGACCAGGCACTTCAGATAGACGGCGAGAATGTGAAAGCCCATTACAGACTAGCGCTTGCACAGAAAGGACTCAAGGTGAGGGCATTTTGTCTTTGTGTATAACTTTCATCCCTGAACAGACCAAGTGGCTTCATGAATATATCATCAGGGCCATGAGCTCAGAGTGAGGTTTAATCCTGGTATCCACTGACTTGCTCAGAAGCCTCCCATCATACCTCCATATTTTCACTCTGATATGGATCATGTAGTTTCTAAATCCCTGTCCAGCTCCACTTCAGTCCATAGTAAAGCATTTTGGCTACAGTTTTCCAGCTCTACTTTCCTAAGGCATCAGGGAATGTTCACTTTAAGGCAGACAGCTTGTTACTGCTGTGTTATTGTGTAAACGTAGGGAGCTTTCAAAGGAAAAAAAATAGTACTAAAACAACAACAAAAACTTAACAGCAGGGACTGCTGTGGGAGATGGGGAGGAGAAACATCACGTTTGGCATGAGCCACCCAGTGGAAGCTGGGAGAGAGGCAGCCGAGATTTAGAAGTTTACAGTGGCCTGGGCCCTGAGCTAGCTTGGCTGATGGCCCTTGTGGAACTACAGAATGGCATTCTGCCCACACATACTGTGAAGAAAGTAGGCTCTGTATAAATATGCTTTCCTTATGCAAACTCTACTGAATGGAAAATTTTTCCTTCTGTTTTTTTAATATTTATTTTATTTTATTTATCACAAATTATTCACTTTGTAGCCCAGCTGTAGCCCCCTCTCTCATTCCTTCCAAATCTCACCCTCCCTCCCTCTTCTCCTCTCATGACCCTTCCCCATTTCACTGATAGGGGAGATCCTCCTCCCCTTCCATCTGACCCTAGCCTGTCAGGTCTCTTCAGGACTAGCTGCATTATCTTCCTCTGTGGACTGGTAAGGCTGCCCGCCCCCTCAGAGGGAGGTGATCCAAGAACCATCCACTGAGTTCATGTCAGAGACAGTCCCTGTTCCCCTTACTAGGGTACCCACTTGGACGCTGAGCTGCCATGGGCTACATCTGTGCAAGGGTCCTAGGTTATCTCCATGCATGGTAATTGGTTGGAGGACCAGTCCCAGAAAAGACCCCTGGGCCCAGGTTTTTTGGTTCTGTTGTTCTCCTTGTAGAGCTCTTGTCCCCTCTAGGTGTTTCTATCTCCCCCTTCTTTCATAAGGTTCCCTGCACTCTGCCCAATGTTTGGCTATGAATCTCAGCATCTGCTGGATAGAGTCTTTCAGAGGCCCACTGTGGTAGGCTCCTGTCTTGTTCCCTGTTTTCTCCCTTTTCCTATGTCCATCCCATTTACCTTTCTGAGTGAGGATTGAACATCTTACCCAGGGTCCTCCTGCTTGCTCAGCTTCTTTAGGTGTACAGATTTTAGTACATTTATCCTATATTATATGTCTAATATCCACTTATAAGTGAGTATATACCATGTGTGTCTTTCTGATTCTGGGATACTCCACTCAGGATGATCTTTTCTAGGTCCCACCATTTGCCTGCAAATGCCATGATTTCCTTGTTTTTAATTGCTGAGTAGTATTCCCTTGTGTAGACGTACCGGAATTTCTGTATCCATTTCTCAATTGAGGGATATCTAGGTTGTTTCCAGATTCTGGCTATTAGGAATAAAACTGCTATGAACATGCTTGAGCAAATGTCCTTGCTGTATACTTGAGCATATTTTAGATATATGCTTAGGAGGAGTGGTATATCTAGATCTTGAGGAAGCACTATTCCTAATTGTCTTAGAAAATGCCAAATTAATTTCCAAAGTGGTTGTACAAGTTTACATTCCCACCAGCAATGGAAGAGGGTTCCCCTTTTTCCACATCCTCTCCAGCATGTGTTGTCACTTGAGTTTTTGATCTTAGCCATTCTGATGGGTGTAAGGTGAAATCTCAGGGTTGTTTTGATTTGCATTTCCCTGATGACCAAGGATGTTGAACATTTCTTTAAGTGTTTCTCTGACATTCGATATTCCTCTGTAGAGAATTCTCTGTTTAGCTCTGTACCCCATTTTTTAATTGGATTACTTGATTTGTTGCTGTTTAACTTTTTTAGTTCTTTATATACTGGATATTAGCCCTCTGTCAGATATAGGGTTGGTGAAGATCCTTTTCCAGTCTGTAGGCTGTCATTTTGTTCTGATGACAGTGTCCTTTGCTTTAGAGAAGCTTTTCAGTTTCATGAGGTCCCATTTATTGATTGTTGATCTTAGAGCCTGTGCTGTTGGTGTTCTGTTCAGGAAGTTGTCTCCTGTGCCAATGAGTTCAAGGCTCTTCCCCACTTTTTCTTCTAACAGTGACTTATTTGGTTAGAGTTACACCAAGGTACTTTATGTGCTTTGTGGCTATTGTGAAGGGTGTTATTTCCCTGATTTCTTTCTCAGCCCATTTGTCTTTTATATATAGGAGGGCTACTGAATTTTTTTTTTTGTTAATTTTGTATCCAGCTACTTTGCTGAAGGTGTTTATCAGCTGTATGAGTTCCCTGGTAGAATTTTTGGGGTCACTCATGTCTACTATCATATCATCTGCAAATAGTGATACTTTAACTTCTTCCTTTCTGATTTGAATCCGCTTGATCTCCTTTAATTGTCTTATTTTTCTAGTAAGGACTTCAAGAATTATGTTGAAGGGATATGGAGAGAGTGGGCAGCCTTGCCTTGTCCCTGATATTTCAGTGGGATTGCTTTAAGTTTCTCTCTGTTTAATTTGATGTTGGCTATGGGCTTGCTGTAAGTGCCTTTACTATGTTTAGGTATGTGCCTTGTATCCCTGATCTCTCCAAGACTTTAAATGTAAATGAATGTTGGATTTTATCAAATGCTTTTCAGCATCTAAAAAGATGATCATGTGTTTGTTTGTTTTTTTCTTTCAGTTTGTTTATATGGTGGATTACATTGAAGTATTTCCATATATAGAACTACCCCTGCATGCCTGGGATGAAGCCTAGTTGGTCGTAGTGGATGCTATCTTTAATGTGTTCTTGGATTCAGTTTGTGAGTATTTTGTTGAATATTTTTGCATTAGTGTTCATAAGGGAGATTGGCCTGAAATTTTCTTTCTTTGTTGGGTCGTTGTTCAGTTTAGGTATCAAGGTGACTGTGGCTTCATAGAATGAGTTTGGTAATGTTCCTTCTGTTTCAATTTTGTGGAATAGTTTGAAGAGTGTTGGTGTTAGCTATTCTTTGAAGGTCTGGTAGAACTCTGAGTTGAAACCATCTGGCCCTGGGCTTTTTTTGGATGGGAGACTTTCGATGACAGCTCTGTTTCTTTAGGGAATATAAGTCTATTTAATATATTTACCTGATCTTGATTTAGCTTTGGTAAGTGGAATCTATCAAGAAAATTGTCTATTTCATTTAGATTTTCAAACTTTGTGGCATATAGGCTTTTGAAGTAAGACCTAATGATTGTTTGGATTTCCTCAGTGTCTGTAGTTATGTCCCCCTTTTCATTTCTGATTTTGTTGATTTAGATGGTGTCTCTCTGCCTTTTAGTTAGTTTGGCTAAGGGGTTGTCTGTCTTGTTGATTTTCTCAAAGAACCAGCTCTTGGTTTCATTGATTCTTTGAATCATTCTCTGTGTTTTTAGTTTATTGATTTCAGCCCTGAGTTTGATTATTTTCAGCCTTCTACTCTTCTTGGGTGTGTCTGCTTCTCTTTTCCCTCGAGCTTTCAGGTGAGCTGTTAAATTGCTTGTATGAGATGCTTCGAATTTCTTTTTGAAGGATATTAGTGCTATGAACTTTCCTCCTTAGCACTGCTTTCATTGTGTCCCATAAGTCTGGGTATGTTGTGCCTTCATTTTCATTAAATTCTAGGAAAACTTTTATTTCTTTCTTTATTTCTTCCCTGACCCAGTTGTCATTGAGTAGCAAGTTGTTCTGTTTCCATGTATGTGTCAGCCTTTTGCTATTTTTGTTGTTGTTGAGGTCCAGCTTTAGTCCATGGTGATCTGATAGGATACAGGGGATTATTTCAATCTTCTTGTATCTATTGAGACTTTCTTTGTGCCTGATTATATAGTCTATTTTGGAGAAGGTTCCATGAGGTGCTGAGAAGAAGGTAAATTCTTTCGTGTTTGGGTGTAAGGTTCTGTAGATGTCTGTTAGGTCCATTTGATTCATGATCTCTGTTAGAGTCATTGTTTCTTTGTTTAATTTCTGTTTTGTTGACCTGTCCTTTGTTGAGAGTGGGGTGTTGAAGTTTCCCACTATTAATGTGTGGGGATCTATGTGTGGTTTAAGTTTTATTAATGTTTCTTTTACAAATGTGAGTGCTCTTGTATTTGGGGCATAGATGTTCAGGATTGTGATATCTTCTTGGTGGAATTTTCCTTTGATGAGTATGAAGTGACCTTCCCCATCTCTTTTGATTAATTTTGGTAGAAAGTTTATTTTATTAGCTATTAGAATGTCTACCCCTGCTTGCTTTGTGGGTCCATTTGCTTGGAAAACCATCTTCCAGCCCTTTACTCTCAGGTAATGTCTATCTTCGTAACTTAGGTGTGTTTCAGCTTCTCTGAACTGTAGTGAAGGGAAACCCCTCCCCTCCGTGCCCCACCTCAAGCCTTGCTTCCCTTTACTGCATCAGGACAACTCAGCATATTTGCGAGTTGTTACTCTTTATTGTTTCCCCTGATGGGATCTAAGGTACCCATAAGGGACAAGGCCCAAGGCTGTCCTTCCTGTCACCTCATTCTCATCTTGGAACAAAAGAACTGGTCAGTGACGACTGTGGATTGGTGGCCCTGTATCCCTGCTTCATCTACCATCCCATCCTGCTGTTTTACTGCTGTCTGTTTGCTTCTCCAGGTGTTTTCTGATTGCTCACCACTCCTGTAGCCAGCCAGAGTGGTCTCCAGGGAGACTCTTGGATGGGCGACAGTCTGGTGTGAATGACGTCCACTTCCCAGCCTTCAGCTCCCAGGCGTTATCTCATACCTTGAACTCAGTGCCCTGGGTTATCCCCCACCTCTGGCCATGACTGCTGTGGTCATCTCAGTGTCGATTTGCTTGTATTTCTTCTTTTTTTAAGATGAGGGCTGTTGTGAGAGTAAAGTATAGCTTGAGCTGGCCTTAGAGTGGGACATCTGTTAGCTGTTGTCCACTCGGTGCTGTGCACTCCAGTTGCACTACTGTCTTCACCTGTGGTTCCCCATCTGGGACATGCCACTGTAAGCACTGTGTCCATTTTCCCCAGTGATTCTGTCTGTGTGTTCTAATGGCACTGCTGTGCATGAGGTACTGATAGCGTATAACGTGTTAGAGTTTTCAAGCAGCTTAAGTTTATACTAAATTGCGCCCCAGCTTTAAGGGTCTGTCTCTCAGTATGTTACTCTTGCTCTAGTGTGTTGGCGAAGGAAAAAACGATGTGGCGTTACAGCTAGTCACCCAGGGATATGGTGTAGCCACTAGTGCAATGTCTGTTTCAGCGTCCAGTGCCTGCTGCCACAGTGCCTCTCAAGAACTTCCAAGTGGCGCCTGTCTTCCACTTCACCATCTAGCTTAGTTAAACTAGGGCTCCAGTCTGTAGTTCTAGAACATGCTGAAGTGGCAAGTTCTGTCTCTGCTTCTAGAATCCCTCTTTTGCCTTCCCAACTCATTCATGCAACTCTAAAAGTGAGACTAAAATTTGATGCTGGCCAGTTTTCACCAGGGAACAACTTTGGAATGTTTTATGGAACAAGAATATTAGGAAAGCCACCCTCTATGGTGCCTGAGTTAATTCATGTTAACTCGTTCATTCGTTCCTTGCTGCAGCCTTGAGAAAGCTAGTTTTTACTGCAAAATCCATTTTGCTTTCTCTCTCAGGAAGGGTTTGGACTTTTGAGCTCAAACCATTCTCCTGCCTCAACCTCCAGAGCAGCTAGGGCTGGGGCCATGCACCATTCCTGGTTTAGGATCTTAGGTCTCACTAATAGGGACTTCAGTGGTTAATAGTTATCATCAATCTGAGTAGATTTAGTGTCACCATGGAAACACATCTCCAGGCATGTTGTGAGGGAATATTTATATTATAGTAATGTGGGGAGACACGCCCTGAATAACATTTCATGTACTATGGGCTCTGGACTAAATAGGAGAAAGGAGTTGAGCACAAACACTCCTCTTTCTGCTTCCTGAGTTTGGAAGCATGTAACCAGCTGCCCCTGCATCCAAAACTTCCTTGCCGTATGATTGATCCCTTGACTGTGAGCCGAAATAAAGCCTTCCTTTAAATTGTCAGCAATGTTGCTCTGGCAACAAGAAAAGTAATTCAAGGGCCCGTCACCTTTTATCCATTCAGCAGATGTGTGTACCACGCTCAGGTGCGTAATGGAGCCTGGCTGACTAACCTGTGCCCTTTACACCATAGAAGTTTGCTGTAGTGTGCCCTGCCTCACAGCAGACTCCCCCACACCCACTGTGTGCCTGGCCTTGGTGGAAGCCACCTGCACACACTGCAGACATCACTGTAACTCAGGCTAACCCTAGAGCTTCTGCAAACCATCTTCTGTCATTGCATTTTTCAGAATTCCCTCCTCAACCCAGATGCCATCGAGGCAAAGGAGGGGCTGCAAGAGGGAGCCCAGCACCTTGACACCAAGAACGACACAGCGCCTCCCAGCAAAGGAAGGGAGAGGAGGAGAATCGAAGTCCGAGAGGTATTTATTTGTATTTCATACTTTTTGAAAGCTACTGAGATTCCATATGAATCTAAGGTTATTTTCCTGTGAATTCTATGGGATTTTTCCCTCTTTATTCTAATTGTCAATGAAAATTTTAGCCAGTTGTAAAGACAAAATTTGCCCTTTGGTGTGTCATCAGCCACTGTATTTCTCAGCATGGGCCATGGATAATGGGTGTCCCAGTGTCGGGCATGTTTTTTTCATTACCACCCCTGCCTGTTTTGTGCCCTGGGAGCCCTGGGCCAGAAGCTTCTCCTTAGGATAGACATGCAGAGAGCAACAAAATTTATCTTCAGCATGGCAAACCATACCTGGTGAAGAACTTTCCAGGCTCACTTATCTTTTTTATTGTTGTTGGTTTGTTTTGGTCACTCTTTAGACCAGGCTGGCCTTGAATTCAGAGATCTGCCTCTGCCTCCCAAATGCTGGGCCATCACTTCTGGCCCCTCAACTTTTATTTCTTTCTTTATTTTTTTACTTTTCAATAATTTGGCTTCTCCAAGAGAGCCTAGACATCATATCTACCTCTGTGACTCCTAGAAGCCTCATGATTTGCTTTTGCATTAGTGAAGAAGGTCAGAACATAAATTCATGTACATCCATGATTGCTAATACCCCATTTATGGTCTGACATTTCTACTAAGAGGCAACAGGTGGGAACCTGACTTTTTCCCCCTTTAAGTAAGAAAGGACTGTTTAAGAGACGTAAAAAATGTAGGCTCATTTTGTTAAATATAAAGGAATGAAAATAAATGTAAAATTATGAAAACAGAAAAACTGATTTAGGCCTTCAGTTTGTTTTTAATGTAGGATAGATTTTTAAAACTTCCAAAAATATTTTATGCCCTAACTTCTTCTTCTTAAAGAAATTTTGTATTCTATAATGTGCTGAGATTTTTTTCCACTTAGAACTTTAACTGAAATACCGTATGTCGCTCTCAGTTCCCATTGCTAGATGTAGCTTGTGATGTGTGTGACTTATGTTGGTGTCATGACTTGGTATGATTTTCTGTCATGAAGGTGAGTGAAAGCAGTGATGAGGAGCCTGAGGAACCTGCAGCAGCTTCTGTTGCCTCCCTGCCTGCCAAGGAGGGAGTTGGAGATGGAGGGTCTGCAGAACACTCTGAAAAACTTGAGGTCCCCAAGCCTAGTAATGCCTATGAGTTCGGACAGGTCCTACATGCTGTGAGCACCAGGAAAGATGCAGAGGCCTGTGCACATCTGTTAGCCATCACTGCCCCCAAAGAGCTGCCAATGTTGCTAAGCAACAAACTCGAAGGGGACATGTTCGTCCTCCTCATTCAGTCACTGAGAAATCACCTTGTGGCCAAGAACCCCTCCCTGGTGTATGAGCATCTCTTGTACCTGAGCAGAGCAGAGAGGTTCAAGGTAAGCGGCTGCACCTGGGAGGAGCCTGGCGTTTCTGGGTTCTGTAACTTTGGAAGCGTTGGTGGTGCTCACAGGACCTTCCCCCTTTTCCAGACGATGCTGACACTGATTAGCAAAGGCCAAAAGGAGCAGATTGTGCAGCTGTTTGATGGTCTGTCAGACACACAGGTCAGCCGTTTTCCTGCAGAGGATGTACAGGCCCTAAGAAGGCAGTATGAGCTCTAACCCGGGTTTCCTGAGTTCCGACACTTTGAACAGCAGTATGATGGAGTTACATGGGTAAAGCCACACCCACAAGGATCCCTGTTTGGACCATCACACATTGTGCTTAATTTTATATCCAGAACATGTCTATTCTACAATATGATTTTTATTTGTTGTAAATATTCTTTTCTGTATTAGAGCCAACAACTTCGTATTTAATAAGTATATCCAGAACTGGGCAAATTACATTCTGATTTATAATACACATTTTCTTTTTAATGATCTACCTGTTAAAAACTTAAAATACTTTTCCTTGCCTGGGCAATTCTTTCAGGTTTGATAGGAACAAATGCCTTTAGTTCTTTAAAAGCAAATGTTACCAGTGATGATTCCCACTCAGATATGCACAAAATCCACTTTAGAATGGATTGTGTAGCATATTGTCAGTTGAAATGAAATACAACATGTCTGTGAGATCATTATTAGTTTATTAATTTAGAGCTACAATGTGGAAGTTATTTTTCTAATATGAAACCAAACATTAGCTAATGAAAGAAAAGTTGCCCAAAATTCCTATCATTTTTACTATATGACTTTCCCTTATACATTGCCTGTAAGCAATAAAACTATATGAAGCAAAAATTCACCCTGCATTTGTATTTGAACTGTTACCCTGTCCCATATTTTCCAAACATTCAAATGTCCCCACCCCATGGTAAGGAGCTGAGAATTTACTGCGGTTAAAAGGTGCTTGGGAAACATCTTCAGACTTAGACAGACACGTGCATCTCTTGCAGAGGTCTTGATTTCAGTGTCAGGCAGCTCACAAAAGAATTGTACAAAATCAGATATTTTTATCTGCCACTAGTAACAAACAGAAAATGACCTTTAAAAAAAGGTAACACTAAAATAGCAGCAGTGCCTGGAAACAAAATATGGAGGACACTACAGAAAGCTAAAGACTCAATGCAGGCCAATCAGAACTGATAAAATTTGGCAGTTATTCTAAGGTGTTTATAGAAGTGTAAAACGCCAACAATAGTCAAAACATTTCAAGAAAAACAAGTCTTACTTACCTGTAAGACATTCACTTCCAGTTCTAAGATTTCCACTAACTGATTCTGTGGGCGGTTTCTGTACACAGGTTCCTTCTTAACTTTGAAGCACATGTATCCATTTTTATTTACCTACTAACCAACGGCTGTAAGCACTAGGAGAACAGTAACTTTTGGCAATGAAATCTACCAAAATGAGGAATATGTAATACAAGGGAAGTACAAGAACCATATAAACGTATTCCTGGAAGAAGTGAGTAAAAGCGAGGTGGTGGTGGCAGCCGCGGCACACGCCTTTAATTCAGCTTGTGAGAGGCAGAGGCAGGTGAGTTTGAGGCCAGTCTGGTCTACAGAGAAAATTCTAGGGCTACACAGAGAAACCCTGTCTCAAACAAAACAAACAGTTCCACGGCGGAAAATAATCCACGGAGCAAGATTTCTTGTTTTGATCATGTCACACAGCACCTAACGGCTTTAACATGAACTTTAACCTTTAGTGACCCAAGTCTCTACCTAGATAATGTACAATGGCAAGCGTTAGACATTTATAAACTACCCCAGTTCCGGCACAAATAGGACTGATAGATTATGAGTTTTGTGGTGGTTGCCACACCTTTAATCCCAGCACTCAGGAGGCAGAAACACGTAGATCTCTGTGTTCAAGGCCACTGGTCTACACAGCTAGTTCTAGGACAGCTAGTTCTAGGACAGAAAAAACAAAACTGTCTTAAAAAAAACAAACCAAACCAAACAAACAAAAAAACCCTCAACAACAACAGAAAAAAAAAAATTGACAAGATTGATTTGGTGCTCTGAAGCTGAAAAACTGAATATTTCAGTGAACCCAGCTAATGTGGCAGTTTATTTGAGCAACTGTCATATAAACTGGTGATGGTTTTAGAGCAGGGCTAGAAGACAAGGTGCCTTGGGAGTTCTCCAGGAACAACAGGTGAAAGGTCTGGACCCATAAGGGTCCAAGGAGAGAGAGAAGTGATTCAGGAGAGATGATGGATGGGGCACCTCCAGGCAGTCTGAGAGCTCAGCTGCCGCTAAGGCCAGCAGCTACCTACATACAGGAGGATCTTATTGTTTAAGAGAGCAATGGCTCTGTGGGAGGGCCCAATGGCCTGGGCCAGGGCCCCTGTGGCTCTCCCCAGCCTCTCATCACTAAAGAGGTGGAAGGACCAAGTAGTGTCTGGAAGTACCAAGGTTGGGACTGTTAAGAGCTTTCTGGAGTAGGGAAAGATGGTGGTGAACTCTAGCCGAGTGGGTGAGAGGCCCATTGGGAGTCTCCTTGGCTGCCTGGTTATAGTGGCTTAGCTGTAATAGCAAAATTAGAGATCCATTGTTTGAGAAACCCAGCCAAAAATGAAAGATGAAAGAATCTGATCTGCCATAGCTGGGAGAGCCCATACCCCATCAGATGGTAAGTTGAACAAGCAAGTATGCTACGGTGGGAGGGCATAGTTGAGCTTTAGATGGGGAGATGATGTGTCCCAGGAAGCCAAGATTGTTTACAAGTAAAGAGGTGGCCCTCTGGACAGAGACAGGAAAGAGCTGCACAGTAGGAGGTCATCTACACATTAGAGACATATACTAGGATTAAGGTCAAAGGAGGGACACCAAAGGAATGTGGCTATCCCAAAAGTCCTGAGGGAGAACTGTCCAAGAGCTGTTTCAAGCCCACTTGTCTGGCTCCTCCTAGGTGAGGGCAAATATGAGTCAGGGTGTATACAGAGACAGTAAAGAAAGCATCCTGGAGGTCCAAAATGGTAAAGTGGGAAGTTCTAGGAGCAATGTTAGTGAGGAGGAGGTAGGGTTGATAACCATGGGGTGGACTGGGATGACCGCCTTAGTGATGAGGCGGAGGTCCTGAACTAAGTGGTAGGCACCAGCAGGCTCTCACACTGGAAGAATGGCAGGATTGCAATGTGAGTCAGTAGGAGTCTCTGAGATAGGAGGCAGGCAATGATGAGTTTGAGACCACAGCAGTGGGTTTCAGATATGGGAAATGAGTCAGGAAGCAAAGAAAGAGGGGTCCTTAAGGTGAACCAGGACCAGCTGGTGGGTAGTGGAGATATCCCATACTTGGGGGTCAACAGGATCTGGCAGGGTAGGGACAGGGCAGTCTGGGGTAGGAATCTGTGAAGCAACCAAGGGTAGAAGAAAAGGAGGGGGGCGGGGCAAGATGGCAGCGCCGGGAGGACTCTCATTCTGAGGAGCAGCACAGCAGGATTGGCACAGTGACCAGCAATCAGAACTCACGGCCATAAAACACAAGTGGTTGTGTTTCTCAGGTGAGAGGATACCCCACGGTGGGGGATTCAATCAGCTTTAACTCACCCGGCTAAACCGCGGAAGAGATCCTGGTTCCGCCAGGCGCTTGGTCGCCAGCCCAGAGCTACACGCCAGCGCGATCTGGTCACGGTCCCAGACTGAACTGTGGGCCCACAACACCACAGACTGGATTTCCCAGTCGGGAGATAACCCCACGGAGCAGGAAACAATTGGGACCGACCCCAGGTTGCCCAGACAACCCCTGGAAAAGACTCCGGTTCCGCGGGTGCCCCAGGAGCCAGCCCGGACCCAGAGCCAGGAGGGACAAAGGCGCCTGCCTGCACAGAGCCCTGCCTGCGCGCGTGATTCGCCGCCTCAGATAGAACTGTGGGCACCAGAGCAACAGGGCACCAGACTGCGTGTCTCTGGCAGGAGGAAACCCCCAGCGGAGGGGGTCAGCAGCTCTAACGCTTAGGACACCCAGCACCAAAACACTTCCTAGACTCACGCAGACTCTAGTGCAGGCAGAAGCGCTGTGCTCTGCCGCCATTGTTGCGTTCCCCTGGGGCACTGGGACACACAGCTGCATCCTCGGACCTGCAGGAGCCGAAGAGCCATTACAGCAGCCCTCAGATACTGTGCCAGGGATCGGCCAGTTGTCCCTGGCTGGACTGCCAAAACTGTAGGAATCCCTGATCCTTCAGGGGGGCTGCACCCACAGCGTCTGGACCAGAGTGGTGCCTACAGCCGCCATCCCAGACAGAGACACACAACTTCTGGTCCAGAGTGAGGCACCCAGCCTCCAGACCAGAGCAGTGCCCCCAGGCGCCAACTCAACCTAGGTGCACATTCTCCAGGTCCAGAGCAGAGCAATCAGCCTTTGGCCCAGAGACTTGCTGAGTGCACCTCCCACTTTCTCAGACAGAACTGTGCGCCCCAGGATAACAGACTGAGTTTCCCTGTTGGGAGAAAACCCCATAGCTAGGGAATCAGCAGTTTCTTCAAGAGGACTGTACATGGAAATTTAGTGAGCAGCAGCACACTAAATTTATAACAACTTTTCAACAGAAACTATGAAAGCCAGAAGGGCCTGGACAGATATCATGCAGACCCTAAGAGAACACAGATGTCAACCCAGGCTACTATACCCTGCAAAACTCTCAGTCCTCATAGACGGAGAAAACAAGATATTCAATGACAAAAACAAATTTCAACAATACCTACACACAAATCCAGCATTACAGAAGACACTGGAAGGGAAAATACAACCCAAGAAAATTAGCTTCTGTCAAGAAAACACAGGAAATAATTAACCTTACTACAGCAAAACAAAAAGCAACCAAGCACACAAACTTATGAACACAGCCAACATCAAAATCAAAGGATCTAACAGCCACTGGTCATTAATCTCTCTCAACATCAATGGACTCAACTCTCCAGTAAAAAGACACAGATTAACAGAATGGATACGTAAACAAAACCCAGCAATCTGTTGCATACAAGAAACACACCTAAGGCACAAAGATAGACATTACCTGAGGGTAAAAGGTTGGAAGATGACTTTCCAAGCAAATGGACCCAAGAAACAAGCAGGAGTAGCCATTCTAATATCTGATAAAATAGACTTTCAACCAAAATTAATAAAAAGAGATGAGGAAGGACACTTCATACTCATCAAGGGAAAATTCCACCAGGAAGACATCACAATCCTGAACATCTATGCCCCAAATACAAGAGCACCCACATTTGTAAAAGAAACATTGATAAAATTTAAACCACATATAGATCCCCACACATTAATAGTGGGAGACTTCAACACCCCACTCTCAACAAAGGACAGGTCAACAAAACAGAAATTAAACAAAGAAACAATATCTCTGACAGAGGTCATGAATCAAATGGACCTCACAGACATCTACAGAACTTTACACCCAAACACAAAAGAATTTACCTTCTTCTCAGCACCTCATGGAACCTTCTCCAAAATAGACCATATAGTTGGTCACAAAGCAAGCCTCAACAGATACAAGAAGACTGAAATAATCCCTTGTATCCTGTCTG